GGTTTGTTGGAGTATTGAGTTGTGCGCTTTGAGGTAGGTAACATTTCTGAACTTGGAAATGAGGGTATTCATCCCTGGGAACCATGTTATTTGTGATGTGTTGGGATGACGCACATGCTAAGTCATGGGCGTGTGGGCGTGCACCGAGGTAATCATGATCCGGGTTGACTTTAGTACTGTGTTGCTATCATGTATTATTTTATTCGTATTTTTCCTACTTTTTAGGTTAATTGAGCCGTGACTCATATTAGAAATCATATTTAGGCTATGTGGTAACCTGATGAATCTATTTCTGTTATTTTTTATTATCTAATTTTACTCTAATTATACACTCAGTCATGATTCTTCATTTGCATATCATATCTCAGTCTATGCTCATTATTCATTATTACATCGCATGTTATCATTGTTTTCCCATATGTGGAGTTGTTGGGATAATTAAGTGACGTGAGATTGTGAGCCCTTGAGACTTGAGAGGTTGATGACTGAGGTGGGACTTAGAGTCGTGTTGAGAGTGTTATTGTGGATCGAGATGCACGCCGCAGCAGGCCATATTGGATTTTTATTATTATTATTATTATTATTATTATTATTATTATTATTATTATTATTATTATTATTATTATTATTATTATTATTATTATTATTATTATTATTATTATTATGTGGATCGGGCTGCATGCCGCAGCAGGCCTTATTGGCTTTTGATTTGCACTTGGGCAGGATCCGCCCCTCCAGAATCTGACATACCAGTAGTGAATGCAGACACAGTGAATATATATATACGTGCTTTGGTGAGGGGGAACTGATGCCAGGCACCCGTACAGTGCTGAGTGATTGTGTGTGTGATGAGGTGGGTATTTGAGACAGACAACTTGAGTATGTTGAGAGCGAGAGCATCTGGGGATAACGTGAAATCATTCATTTGACATGCATACTTGACATATAGTCATAGAGATTTTTAATCCTCATGCTAGTTGTAACTGACATGTTCTTATCAGTGTTAGGCTTTAATTGTTATACTTTAAAGCATGTCTAAAGTCCTGTAATATGAACGAGCAGATTTTGATAATTACTTTGAGTTACTTATTGCTATTGTCATCATTATATCTGTATTGTCATTTATATTGGTTTTTGGTTGTCTTCTTCTGAGCTCGTCACTGCTTTCAGCCCAAGGTTAGTTCTGTTACTTATTGAGTACATGGGTCGGTCTTACACATACTACACTTTGCACTTCATGTGCGGAGCCTGGTACATCTGGACGTGGTGATTACTAGATCCGTATTAGTACCAATATTTGGAGACTTTGAGGTAGCTATTATGACATCCGCAGATCTTGACTATTTTTCCTTTATTTTTCTTATTACTTTTCTATTCTTCGGATAGTTGTACTAAGGATTTGGTTTATATTTTGATACTCAATAGTGCACATGTACTCGTTGACACCAGATTTTGGTGATGGTTGCAGTAGATTTGTTATTGTTTTTATCATAGAATTATGATATTTCCGTTGTTAAGTATATTAAACCATGTTTACTCAAATGCTTAGTTATTATGTGACTCTTGGCTTGCCTGACAAGTTGTGTTAGGCGTCGTCGCGACTCCGGTGGGATTTTGAGTTGTGACAACCCTCGGTTCAAGTTTTTCACCCGTCACATAAGCATAAGCAGGACAACCAAATGTCTTCAAATCAGCAGGCGAACTGGACCTTAAAAGGAGTTTTGAACTCAATAGTTGTGGATGGAGATCTATTGACCAAATATCAAACTGTATTGATGGCTTCGACCCAAAAACTTCCTAACACATTAGTGTGAAAGCAAGCTTCGTGCCCTATCACAAAGCGTTCAGATCATACATTTTGCAACACCATTCTGTTGTGGTGTTCCAACACAAGTGCGGTATCTCACTATGCCCTCTTTACTATAGATGTTATTTAGCTCAGAATTGCAAAATTCCAACCCATTGTCAGTCCGAAGACGCTTAACTTTTCTTTCCGTCTGCCTCTCAACCATCATCTTCTATTTAACAAATGTCGAAAATGCCTCATCTTTTATTTTTCAGAAAATACACCCACATCATCGTTGAGTAATCATCAATCAAAATCATAAAATACATGGCATCAGTCTTGGAGGGAACTCTATTTGGACCCCACAGGTCTGAATATATATATAATCTAACTTGTCTCTAGTTTTGTGCTTTGCCTTGCTGAATTTACCCTTGTTTGTTTACCAAACATGCTCACAAAAATTCAAAACTTGATTTTTGTACCTATCCTACAAATTATGCTTGCTCAACAAAGACAATTTGTTGTCACTCATATGACCAAGTCGCAAGTGCCACAAATGATACTGATTCAGGTTAAGTTTTCCAGAAGCTACAGTAGCTTCCCCTTCAACTACATTGGCTTGAAGATGATATAATTTAGAATGCAGTTTACCCTTCATGAGTACCATAGAGCCTTTACACACTTTAAATATTCTATTCTCGGAGTAGAACTTATATCCTTGATCATTCAAAGTCGAAAAGGAAATCAAATTTCTCTGTATCCGAGCAACATACCAATACTCAATATTTTTGATAATTCCATCGAACATTCTTAATCTGATGTTACCAATCCCCTCTACTGGTAATATATTATCATTTACTATATAGACAGTCACACTCATCTGCTTATAAGTTGCAAACTAATTCTTGTATGGACACATGCGGAAAGTAGCACTAGAATCAAGAACGCAGGAATTCTGCCCATGACTAGAACTCACGGCACAAACTTCCTCTATATAGTCACTATCATCAGAATTATTGCAAGTGTCAATAATATTTGCAAAATTATCTACTTTCTGCTTCCTTCTTTTCTCTTTCAGCCCTTGCTCCCCGCACTCATAACAATTCTGCTTCCTCGCTCTAGACTTCGACTGGCGGTTGACTTTTTCCTGTTAGTGTCCTTTTGTTGTGTTCTTCCTCTACTCACAAGACCCTCGCCCTCAATTGTACTATTTGGAAAGCTATTTTTCAACTCTTTAGATTTCAGTGTATTACTAACATCTTCCAATGAAATACTGCCTTTCCCATATAGCAATGCATCGGTAAAAATATCATAAGATAATGGTAAAGAACATAATACAATTAAGGCCTAATCCGCACTCTCTATTTTGATATTCATGTTCTTCAGATCCATTATAATTGAATTAAACTCATCAAGATGAGTTTTAACTTGTATACCTTTGTTCATACGGAGATTGTAAAATATTTTTTTAGGTAGAGGCATTTTGTCAATAATTTATTAGAATACAAATCTTCCAGCTTCTTCCATGCCATTGCTGCAAAAGTTTCCTCAGTAATTTCTCAAATGACGCTATTTGTAAGGCTCATAAAGATCGCACCCAAAGCCTTCTCCTTCAGGTCTGCCTTCTCGGTCTCTTTCATTTATTTAGGAAAATCCTCATCAATTGCCTTCCATAACCTTGTAATACCAGGGATAATTTCATCCTAATATTTCGTAGACTGAAACAAGAATCCCTATCGAATTTCCCTACTTCGTACTTTGTTGAAGATGAAGAAGACATCTTAACCCTAGATTATTTGTAAAAATTCGAACATTGATCTGATACCAAGTTTTGCGGATGATCGTGGGTTAACTAGTACACAATCACACACAAAGCAAATAGAGAAGAAAATCAACACAAGGATTTAACGAGGTTCGATTCATCCTAATCATCGGGGCAGAAGCAGAGATAGTTTTTCACTATGAATGAGAAGAAAAGCACAATACAATCTATAGAATCTCCAACTGCAATCCCTACATATATATATCCCAAATAGTCACAAACCTATAAGAGAAAGGTTTCCCAATCCGACAAGGATGATAAGTTTTCCTTTCCCAAATATATTAGAACAATGTGTTTTCCCAAACTTATAGGGATTATGGATTTCCTAAAAATACAAGAAAATAATTCAAGCCACAAATAACATGGTTAACTAGCACACAATCACATACAAGGCAAATAGAGAAGAAAAATCAACAAAAGGATTTAACGAGGTTTAGCTAAGCCTAATCCTCAGGGCAGAAGTTTTCCACTATGAATGAGAAGAAATGCATAATACCATTTATAAAATCCCTAACTAAAACCCCTATATATAGATCCTAAATGGTCTCAAACCTATAAGAGAAAGGTTTCCCAATCCGACAAGGACAATAAGTTTTTCTTTTCCAAATCTATTAGAACAATGAATTTTTCCAAACCTATTGGGATTATGGGTTTCCTAAAAATACAAACAAATATTCGTTGGTCGGTATCTTCGTTTAAAATTAAATAATAATATTATCATACCGACTAACTTAAGTCAGTTAATATAAGATATTAAATAAACATATCGACCGATAGTGGTCGCTATATTTATTTTTGTGTGAGAGACCAGTTTATGGTCGTTTTTAATGATCGATTATGTTGGTTGGTCGTATCCGATCAATTTCGGTCGGTATGCTCTACCGACTATTTATTTTCCGACCGCACTTAGTTGATCACGATTCGGTTGCTTTTTGCCGATTACCGACCGAATAAGGGCGATTTGGTTGGACGGAGTTTACCCGTTTTTAGTAGTATAATCCCTTTCTTTATGTCTTTTTAGAACCCCGCCTAAATAATGTGTACGTTACAAATTTAATAATGCTGAACTCATTATACCCTCAATTTTTATATATACTTAGTCAAAGATGCTAATCAAATACTTGAATAATAAGTGACAAAGACTTACTATTTTTTTTATTTTATTTTTTTTGCTAGTCGTTGCAATTTTTCAAATTGACTAAAGGACACAAACTGTTACTTCTGAAAGCACATGCAAATCAAATAATTAATTAGTGTGCTCGTATATTTCCATCGTGCTTGTCAGCTATTGGAAGGGGAAGTCCAAGATGCTCCATTTTTAAATTACCCCAAGTCAAGTCAAGTCAACTATACTATTTTCTAAGGACGACTTAATTATTGCCTGCCACAAAAACCTGTTATTAGAGAACACTCAATTACTCTTAATTATTTCAAGAAACTGAAGCTAATTTCTTCTTTTCAAGTAGAAAATTAGTGCTAAAATTAGTGTTATGGCTTTGATTTCCAAATTCTTTCATGGCTTCATCATTGCTGCCTGTTTTATACAATTTGGGTACTGTCATGTCAGCTATGAAAGATCAGTCCGAAGAGCTCTCTTTGTATTTGGTGATTCCCTCTTTGATCCTGGAAATAATAATTATATTAATACCACTACTCAATTCCAAGCCAATTGGTGGCCTTATGGTGAATCATTCTTCAAACCTCCTACTGGCAGATTTTGTGATGGTCGTATCATTCCTGATTTCATTGGTAACGTTAACTTTTCATCCCTTTTATATAGATTGGAGCTATCAATTTTGTCTGTATCCCGCCTTTTGTCTATTAAAAAAAAGGGTAATCCGGTGTATAAAGTATTATGCGTTTACGCAGAGTTCGGGGAATGGTCATACTTCAAGTGTGTGATGTAGACAGCCTACTCTAATGCAAGTATTAGTGGCTACTTACACGGCTTAAACCCGTAACGTTTAGGTTATACGGAGACAACTTTACCGTTGCTCAAAGGCTCTCATTCTTATTTATGAAAAAAAAAAGGGAAAGAAAAAGGATAAGCGTCAGTTTCTCCTATTTCCTCATGTATCCGAACACATTAGAATTGATTTGATTTGAGGAACAAGTAGAACTAGATACCAGTTGATGGAATCAAAAGGGTTCAATTAAATTTTTTTCGTCGAAAATTTATATTGCGTATATTTATGAAAAATATTTCTAGGTATACATGATTCTCTTATCATATATATATATATATATGAATATTTTTATTTTGGAATACTAAGTTAATTTATTGTGTTGTTTTTAGCCGAATATGCAGAGTTGCCACTCATTCCATCGTATTTTGAGATTGGCAAGGATGGATTTATCCATGGAGTGAATTTCGCATCAGGAGGAGCTGGCTGCTTAGAAGAAACTTTTCGTGGCTTTGTAAGTGATATTTATTATTCCCATTTGATTTTATTACGAGTTCCTACTTGGACCAATAATATATATATTTTTAGTCTCTCCTAAAAAAAATAGTCAATAAAATATATATTTTTATATATACATGTATTATATATATAAAAATATATACATACTTTATACAAACTTTGGCTAGCTAATGCAATTAGTTTCAGTGGGTCGATCTGTTAGTAGACTGTATTTGTAAAATAATTCTGGAAATATAAATGAATATAAACAGAAATGAACATAAACAGAAATGACATAAAACCAATTCGAGCCCACTGAATTCACAGTGTTTCCTTAAGGAATTTAATCCCCTCCTAGTACCCAAGGTTATGGATTATTTCCTCCCAGGATAGAACGAATTACACACTGGTGTAGTGGTACATCAAACCACAGTGTTTCAGCGAACACAAAGTTCGGTAGCAAATCACACTTACTTTTTGCTTTGTTTGATGCTAAAAGTATGCAGAAGAAGGAGAAGAAACTCAGAAAATCGTAGTGAAATTCTGAGCAGAATAATGTTGTATTTATAGCCAAAGTTAGGCTGAAATCTGAAGAGGTGCAACTCTTCAGAATGGCTGTTTATGCAAAACTCCCACAGCATAAATGCCATTACATAAATGGCCATTTACTCAATAATAAAGAGGGAAAATAAAGAGGAAAAATTGAAGAGGGTAGTTACTTTTCTGTTACCAAAACAGAAAAACGGATTGGATTTAATATTAATATTTTGTTATTAAAACAAATATTTAATAACATTTCTGTTAATATTTTACTATTAACAAATAAATTTGGTCCAAAAAGTTAATCAATCAATCATTTGACCGAATCCGAAGCCGAAGCCGAAGCCGAAGCCGAAGCCGAAGCCGAGCGAGCGACGACGACGGCGCGAGGCTTGCCTTCTTCTCAACTCTTTAAGAGCTAGAAGAAGAGCAATTGCTTATATACCCATAAAAAACCTCTTCCTCTTCCAATATGGGACAATGCCCATTTGCCAAGGGGGGGAACTTAAAATTTCACTCAAAAATTTTATTTCCCTCCATTTCCCATTCACCCTCTTTTAAGTATTTAATATATTAATTAAACACATCCAAAACCCAACAATCCCCCACATGAATGGGGAATGGCTATATCACGGACTTATGAGATTGTTACTGTAAGTTCAGGACTAGCTGTCCTTAATATATGAGCTTGTAAGTCTAAGTTAAGGACTACCTGTCCTTAGTTTTTGAGCTTGTAACTCTAAGTTAAGGACTACCTGTCCTTAGTTTTTGAACTTGTAACTCTAAGTTCAGGACTACATATCTTTATTTTTTGAATTTGGAACTCTAAGATCAGGACTACATGTGAACTCAGTATAAGTTCTACTGCCTGATATTTCTACAGAGCTATTTTCATTATTAGTTCTACTGCCTGATATTTCTTGCTCTGGTTCAGAGGATAATATTGTTTCCAAGTGAGTGACCTGTGCTTTAACTTGAATGGAGGCCAAAATTCCAAGTGTGTATTTTGTTGGTGCAGAAAGGAGAGTATGAAAAGAAGAGTGAAACTTTAAAGAATGCTTACTGCAGTGAGTGAAGTAATAGAGTTTGAGTTGAGTTTGTTGAAGGGATTTGAACGCGATGTAGGAGGTGGAGGACATGTGTGGCCGTTACTGAATTCAGGAGAAAAGGGAGACGGAGAGACTGGCAAAGAAGAGAACATGAACAAAAAAGAGATAGAAGAAAGGGTAACACCCTCTTCTCGTATTAATTTTAATAGACTAGTGGCTACTTTTGCTCAGCATTTTTATAAAAAGTAAATACCACTTTAAAAAATGGCTACCCCACGCAATTTTTACGCAATCTGATGGGTTAGGTCATTGGGCCTATTATGAGCTAGGCCCAGCTGGTGACTTCTGAAGCCCAACAAGAATATCTCTCAAAGTTCTAAGTCATTGTTCTCCACTTAATTCTATTCTAAGGCTTACTACCATTTATTTTTCTGTTGCGGCCTAAAAGTGATAATACCCCTAATTAATAGGAAATAACTTGTTAATCCTTTTTAATTTTATAAAAATGTACATAAATAAATTTATATTTTGATATGTGTCTGTTAGCACTTTATATTTCTCTTCAATCACTTCAATTTTTTGTTCATACGTGCAATTTAAGTACCCCAATAAAAGCAATCAATACTAAGGATTTCTTTTGAGCCAAATGTCCAAAGTCACTCTTAATTATCTCAAAGAAATTTATATTGCCACCATATTATATGTGGAAGTTCTACATAAAATATAGATTTGGTAATCCAATGAAAATTTACTAAGTAACCAAAATGAGGTGTCAAAATTTCTGAAAAAAATATTGTGCAATAATGCCTAAAATTGTGCCTGAAAAACTTTTTATTTAACACTTTCGCATCATTAAGATAAATAAAAATAAATAAAAGCCTTTTCTTACATCAAGGAATTTGCATTCTATTTACCATAACATTTATATTCTATGTGAATACAGAATATTTTGTACACCGAAATAACCTTTAAATTACTTATGTATTCTGTGTTTACCTAGAAAGAGATGTAACTAATATACATTTTTTCATTTGGTTTAAATTACAGGTTATAGACCTTAAAACACAATTGAAATACTTCAAAAAAGTGGCTAAAGATTTGAAGAAGAAGTTTGGAGCAAAAAAGTCCAAACAACTCCTCTCCAATGCTGTATACATATTTAGCGCTGGAAATAATGATTACTTTGAATTTCCCACGGCATATTCTAAGGAAGAATATGTAAAGATGGTAGTGGGCAATTTGACATCTGTTCTGAAGGTACTAATTACATTATATATATATATANTATATATATATATATATATATATATATATATATATATATATATATATATATATATATATATATATATATATATATATATATATTCCCTCCGTTTCAAATCAGATGAGATATTTTCTTTTTTATTATGTTCCAAAATAAATGGCATATTTATAAATTTAGAAAT